AGTTTCCTTGGGTAGTGTAGATTCTAAATTGTTCAAATCATGGCCCCGGGGGTAGAGCAGGGCCACAATAGAGAATCTAAGTTGTACATTGAAATGTATAGGTAAAATCTTTAAAAATCTTCTTCTCAAGAACCACAGGGCCAGAATAGCTGAAACTTATGTGGAAGCATCCTTGGGTAGTGTAGATTCTAAATTGTTCAAATCATGGCCCTCGGGGGTACGGCGGGGCCACAATAGGGAATCAAAGTTTTACATTGAAATATATTGGCAAAATCTTTAAAAATCTTCTTCTCAAGAACCACTGGGCCAGAAAAGCTGAAATTTAGGTGGAAGCATCCTTACATAGTGTAGATTCTAAATTGTTCAAATCATGGCCCCCAGGGGTACGACGGGGCCGCAATAATTATTACAATGGAGTGGGGGTCTGGTGAAGAACAGCAGGGCCAAACGTAACTCAGGTGAGCATTGTGGCCCATGGGCCTCTTGTTTAAGAATGTGTACTGTTTGTCATCAATCATTGTAAAAAATGTCTTAAGTGTTCCTTGGAACACTTTAGTTAATTTATTGCCACTGATAATTGTTTGTGTCCATTTTTCTTTGTTTTCAGCCTTCTTCATTTCAGAATGGAAATGTTTGGGATGTTTGATGTTTTCTGTTTACTAAACCTCATTAAACCATACTTTGTGAGCATGACTTATAGAATAATTATGTCATGAACCTTAGTATGGATAATTGGGTTTTTCATTTTCTCCAAAAAGTTCATCATTTGGTTGTGTTTTCCACTAATTGTAATGACTTTTACGATATTGGTTCTTTGCCCTAGAGTAAGTAAATGTTTAAAAAAAAAATTGCTAATTACTCTTTCAATGAATTGGGAAAACATTCAACTATTAAATAGTATAACTTCCTTGATATTAACTTTATTGAACTGCAGCTTTTCTTACAACATGAAACATAACATTGCTGCTCTTATTTTGATATGCAAGTAATTTTCTTCATGTTTAATATATATGTGCACTAAATTTGTGTTTAAGGTTCATGTTAGATTTCAACGCCTGGGAGTAACGTTATCTCACAGTGTAGCTCTGAAAGTTCAAAGACAAATTGGTGACCAATATATTAAAGACCTTGTAGATGCTATCCCGTCTGATTGGGGACAACGTAAACTTTATGGTTAAAGTCAGTCACCAGCGACACATTTCATCAAAACGTATGGAAAACTGGTTTGCATCTGCTGCCATTATTCAGCATGAAGAGTTTGAGAACCTAACTGACAAGGGACCTCAAAGACAAGTCCTGGATATTCCAGCTGAGGACTTTCTACCATCACTAGCAGACTGGAATGTTATTCATAAGGAGTATGTTACACTAACATAAAGTGTGTTATGCAAATTTTGCAAAGAATTTGCTGGTTTCAAAACATTTCTTGATGAAATGAGACAGGAATTCATTCCTCATAATTATGATGCGACAAAAAACACTCTGTTGTCCCCGAAATAACTACCGGTATTGCCAAGAAATGAACAGTGCGACACAGATGTGATAAAGATTTTAGATTCATATGAAGAAACAGTTGCAGAAGTGTTCAGGGCCAGTGGCAGAGAAGTCGACGACAAAACCAGAGTGCACATTGGAGGAGATCAACTTACTAGAGAACATTTTTCAGGAGCAAAGAGACACTTCGAAAAGATGCTGTTAGTGGAAAGGATGGTTTTGAGCACCTCTCTCCCATTACGTTTGAACTTTTCCATTTTTGACCATTGCAAAGAACTTGCAGTGTCTTTAATAGGCAGTTACATAGTGTCTGCAGCTCTGGAGTATTTAGGGATGGACAAACTGGATTATGTGCCAATCAAACATTTTATACCAAGTTTGGATGAATTATTATAAGTGAATATGAGAAGAAGATGTCTCTTGTGCATTCATTAGAAAATTTCATTGATGCATACATTATAAAAGATTCAAAAGATTTACTCCAGGAGCAATCTTCTACTGTACAGTTTATTCAAATACAGGTACAAATGCCAAATGGAAGTCCAGTGAATATTCAGCTGCCTCTTTTGACAAAATCTGAGCATATGCAAGCTTCACCAGATCATATCATGAACTATGGACTTTGAATCTTAGAACTAGGACTTGCATTTAAAGGCCTTCAAAACAATATTAAAATTCCGAATAGAGTCGACAGGTTTATACCACTCATGAAGCACTTAATGTATATTCTAAAGGGCCACAATGATAATTCCAAGTATGCACTTGAAATTTTGCGCTTCTTGGTCCAGCAGCAGTGCACATTTGATGAGAAGACAGCTTACCAGTCTTTTTTATGGTCTCTTTGTCAACAATTATAAAGAAAAGTTTGATTCTTCAATTCCTGCAGACCTACAGATGGAACACATTGTGAGACAAATTAAAGGTCACTTGAAAGCTGTCCATTCAAATAAACAGACACTGCCATTGCAAAGAGAACAGCTGCCTTTGCTGGCATGAAAAACATATCAGCATCTTTTGATGATTCCTCTGATGTTATTGTACGTTCTCAGAAGCACAAAATTGTTTTTTCACACTCTGATGAATGCATGATTATCAGTGACTTACAGAAGCTTAAACCTTTCCACTTTAAAGATGGACGAAAGTTTCAATCATTTCCCAAACCTGTCCAGAGTCCCTTGAGTCATCTCAATATGCAGAAATTGAAGTCATGGATTCGTGAACACCAGTACAACCTTCACCATGAAGTAAGAAATTAAGGTAAAACTTTATGAAAACATAAATACAGTAAAACATTCTTATAGTCAAGTCCCATGTACCTCAAAATTTGCTTTGATAAAAGAATTATTTGCTATATCAGTGTATATCCTAGTTAATTAAGAAATAAGTTATTTTGAAACTTTGATAAAAAAGTCATTATATTAAGTGTAAATTTGTGTAAGCTTGTTTGCTGTAACTGTGTTTTACTGTTTTTAAACTTGAGGTTTGTTTATAAAGAGCTTCACATAATTAAAGAAAAAAATCCAAAAACAAAGAAGTTAAACTTACATATATTATAACAGTACTGTAAACTGAAATATGTTTATTCAAGCCAATTTTAAAAACATAGTTTATCTTAAAGACAAATCAATGACCTGTTTTATTAAACAACATAAAGACTTTGCAACTACTGGGGAAATTTGAAAGTCTTGGGTCGGTTCCTCCTCTGCAAGGTGTAATTTAGGAAAGCGAACTAAATGTTCAATACACTCCAAGCTTTACTTCTTCTTTCAGATCTGAGGAAGTCACAAAGGAAGTTAATGCAGATCTGAGAACAGACTTGTCTATCTCCGAATCCTTTTCAGCTGACTCAGAAGAGGGGCAAGAATCCTCACATACATCACAACAATTTTGAACAACAGCAGTAGATTCTGTAAATCCAAAGTGGGACTTAGAAAAAAACTCGCCTACAAAGTGTGTCATTCCTGCAATACTCCTTAATTTCCTTTGAAATGTTTAGACGCCCCAAGTCACTGCTATTGAAGTACAAAATGGCTTCACACTGCATTTCACTGTTTCGTCCACCACGGCCAATATGCTGTATGTACCCATATCAAAAAATAATACATAAAAGTATATTTTTAATATATTTTTAATACAATCATTTTCGTATTGTTTAAAATTAATACAGAAAAAATATATTATTTTTGTATCACCAACAAATAGGTAGATTATTTTTGTATTAAAATCTGACTTTGATTTTTTACAGGGTATTATTTTTGTATTTTTTGGGACTTAGATTATTTTCAGTATATCATTTTTGTATTTTTGTGGACTTAGTTTTTTTCAAGTGTATTTTTTCTGTATTAAAATTGAACTTAGTAATTTTACAGAAAATTACATACAGTTAATCTGTATTATTTTTGTATTAAAATTGAACTTAGTAATTTCACAGAAAATTACATACAGTTAGTCTGTATTATTTTTGTATTAAATTTGGACTTAATAATTTTTCAAAAAATACTATACAGTCAGTATGTATTTTTTTTATATTTATTTTGGACTTAGTGTTTTCTTTTACTGAAATTTGTATTTCTTTGAACTTAGGAAAATTTACAGAAGTTCTTGCAATAAGTCTGTTGGAATTAATATTTTTTCTCAGATTTTATTAATTAAGACCACTGCTATAAAGGTTGCTTTTATACTATTTACATTTAATTGCTATTTAGAACAGAAAACTTCAGTAGTTTAAATTTGTTAACTAAACAATTTCATTTTTAAAACATGTCTTTACTAGGTGTGAAATTGTCATTTGGAAAGAGATAGATACGTCTAAGGGGACACCTGTGCTGTACATGATACTTGTAAACACGCGGTAAATTTTGAAGTTTCAGAGTTTCAGACTTTCTTTTTGTGTTGAAAATTTTACAGCGTGTTTACAACCGAGTGTTTACAACTATCGCCAACAGCACAGGTGGCCACCTGCAGGCTAACAATAGACGAGTACATGTTATACTACTCAAAGAAATAACATGATTTACCCGTGAAAACACATCCCAACCAAAACAAAAACAAACAACATGAAGAGTTCCACTAAATACAGTACCTACGATGTTTTCTTGACTATACAACTCAACGTAGTATACATTATATTTAATTCAGTACGTATTACAATTACATGGAATAGAACTATTTAATTATCCGCTTTTAGAAAAAAATTAAATAAGAAATTATTACGAAAGAATATCATAAAATAATATAGAAAATGTTGTGAAATTGGTGTAAAGGATAGTTGTTAAACATTATTTCAATCTCTGGTACCGTATGTATGAGTTAAGTTGTCAATCAAAAAGGCTATATATTTTGTATCTACCGCTCGTTTTGATCATTATATTTGAACTTTATGGTCTACTTCACAGGTCAACTTGAATATAAAAATGGCTGCTCTCAGCGGAAATGATGACCGGAAATAACGATGTTTCGTTATCGGTAAATTCCGTAAGGAATAAAAAATGATTCTGATAATTAAATTGAACATCGTTTTTTTCTAACATAATTTTAGGTTTGTTCAATTGATTCAAGATATTTAAAACCATGTAAATATGTTTTCTCTAACTGTTCCGATCTCAACATCGGTAATTTTCGTATATGTGACACAATATGATTGGTCAGATTTTAAAACTCTTCCGTACTGTTCTCTGATTGGTCAACAATATTTCACCCACGCCATTTTGAAAATTCTTCCCGGGACGTGTTGAGAAAGCTGGAGGTGATTTTGAATAAACTCTCATTTGCTCGCGAGTAAAATGGATTGAAAAACAGAAGTGCAGCATAATAATGGTACACAGGATCATATATATGAACCAAGGAAAGCAAATACATAAGGAGACTGACGTTTTTTAGGCATCATATCTGGACTTTTCTGGTGTAAACAACGACAGTTGCGGTAAGATTATGTATATTTTAGCACATTAAAGTTTCAGTTTTTTAAATAATAACTTAGTACAAAGATAGAGGAACAAAGAATGCCTTTTTTACCCATTTTGTAGTATTGTAGAAAGATAAAATAGTACGGTTATTGGCCATATGGGGAACAAGGGTTTTTGTGATAAATTCTGATTGGGGAGAGAGGGGTGGAAGATGGGGGTAATTTTCAAGCCTTTGGCTTCCTAGTTCTATTTCATTCCAATTTTTTCAAGTTTACCATAGACGAATTATTTATTTTCCCTTCAAAAACAATTCTGTAATTTGTATAAACTCAATTTTTTTCGGGGGGGGGGGGGTAGGTTGGGTTCGGGGGGGGGGGGGCAGTTTATTTAAATAACATTGGGGCACACATTTTGTTTACTCTTTCAACATTTTCAAGGACAGATTGTTTATTACAAATATTTTTTTAAAAATATTTTATAAATCAGTCCCCCCCCCCCTTTTTCTTCTCCAGATTGTCAAATCAAATGGTTGTCCCCTAAGAAACCCCAGATTAAAGAAAAGTAATTTCAATGGTACAATTGTACGGAATTTGGTGAACTCCGCTGGATCTTTTGGAATTTCAATTTATATTTATTGTTAATTTTAGTCAGCAGAACATTGAAGAAAAGCTGATTAGTCATGGAGGAAGAAGATCCCTCTCAAGAAAGTATTGCAGGTGTGTGAGCTAAACAAAATCTATATAGAATTATTTTGGATGTGAAAATGTGTGTTTTGTTGAGGTAATGGTTCATTAAATTTTATCATTATATCATTCTGTTCTATATTTCACAGTGATGAAGTCAGATGAGATGACAGGTTTTGTGATTTGAAGATGGACTTCTGCAACAAAGTAAACACTCCTCTACCTTTTCCATACAAAAGAAACAGCAAAGCAGAGAGATCGAAACATGTGGTAAAAATACAAAGAAAACAGGATTAGTTAAACTTGTGAAAAATATCAAGACTATTGAAGAGCAGATTATATGTAAAAAGAAAGACTACAATTGGTAGCTGAATCAGTAGCCTGGCCACATTAATTACTTTTTAATTAGCTATTTGTACATTGAAGGTAATCTGACTGAGTTACTAAAATTGTTATTTAACAAATATTTCAAATAAATAAAAGATTTTTGAATAACAATCAATAGATGCTATTAAGAACCTCAATCTCCAACCCCTTTTCTTCAAATAACAATTTTTGCCCATGATCATTTTTGTAGTTTTTAAAACTCTGTTTTGTATTATTTTAAGCATTTAAATGTATTTTTTGTCTATCGTTCTTGTACTTTTTTGATATTTTTGAAATAAAATCCTTCATGCTGATAAAAATACAAAAACAATACAAATTAATACAAAATTAATACATTCTATATTTTTTTCATACTTTTTTTTGTAGCTGTATTATTTTCATATTTTATATCTTTTTTGTAGTTTTAATTTATCCAGATGAAAAAATACAAAAATAATATATGTGATACAAAATTAATATATTCTATATTTTTTTTGTATTTTAATTCTTAAAGGTGAAAAAATACAAAAATAATATATGCTAATACAAAATTAATACATTCTGTATTTTTTCTATACTTTTCTATGGACCAGGGTTCTCACTAGGATTTTGCTAACTTGAGTCCCAGGACTCAAGATTTCTGACAAGGTTGCGTCCCAGCTAAATTTGATGCGTCCCAGAAAAATTATGTTGAGTCCCAACTGAATTATTGCAGTGTCCTTCCATCCAAACATCAAAAAAAATCTTTCATTTTTTTTAACAGTTTGTTTACGAAATATTAACATATTCAAATATGTATACTGGTGATGCATCCAAGCCAAAGTATTCTAAAATACACGCGTAATCAACTGCCATAAAAATAAACTTGGTGTTTATAATGCTAAAATTAACTGTTGCATAATCAATTAGTACCCAAAGTTGACTGTATACAATTACAGGTGTCATGTGCAATGAGGCGTAACTAATCCTGTCGGTCGTCTGCACTGGGTGAAATTCACGAGATAATCAAGCCGCATTGTGTATACTAGCAGTAATTATGGTTTCTAGATAAAACTCAAGATTCAAAAGTGTTAAAAAAGCTGCTTTGTGTTTACAGCTATCGGAGTTTGGCATGCAACACTATTATGACTATGGACTAATAAACATGAAATATCTTATAATCAATCCCTGTTTTAAAAAAAAAAAATAGAAATAGGTACAAGAAAAGTTGTTTCTAGGATAAACTATATGATAGTTACAGGAAGGTTTCGATTAAATATTTCTTTGACAAATCTTAACATCTGAAATCTCCGGTTTTCGAAAGCACCCGAATTTTCTCGCTGACGAGGACGCGTCCACTCATGAGTCCGCGGACGCATCGTTTTTAAGAACCTTGCGTCCCAAATAATTTTGCTGCGTCTAGGACGCAGATTCTTTTGTTAATGAGAACCCTGATGGACTGTATTATTTTTATACTTTGGAGAGGAAAATAGAGAAATAATACAAATGTACAAAAACAATACGTTTTTACAGGTCATGTGTATCATTTCTGTATTATTTCGAAAAAATAAAGTATATTAAAAATATATTTTTCTGTGTTTGGCTTTTAAAAAGTCTATTATTTTTGACCTAAATTGGAACCAAGATTTAGAGGGTTCCAAATTTGGTCATTAAAAATATACTTTTTTTGTATTATTTTAGTATTTTTTTCTTGTATTATTTTTGTATTCATTTTCGATATGGGTATGCTAAAAGTATAAAATTGAAATATAGAAGGAAAGTTTTTAAGTTAATATGGAGCAAATTATTTTAAATATTACTATCACTACAATATGTTAATCATTATCACAAGAAATTAGCTTCCATAATGTAGAACTAAATTCTGCAATATACATGTGATATATTGTAGGTTACCTCCTACTTCTGATATTATTCCATCCACACTGTCAAGCATATGATTTAATTTTTTTATATTGTAGAAAATTTACCTTCCAGATTTTGGGGAGGACAAGCATGAATCACCTGAGCTACATAACGCAGGTCTACCCCTATCCCTAGTGCTACTGTAGCAATAACAACTTTCAGGGGACTCTCTATGGGATCCTTTGCCAAATTCTTAAAACAGGGTATTATTTTAACTCGGAATAATTATTTCATTCGGAATATAAAGAATTGAAAAAAATAAGCAACTAAGTCTCCTTACATGTACTTGTAGCTCAGAAGAAAAAAAAATGTTGCCTTAATTCTCTGCATTTTGTGTCTAATACAGTATTGGGGTAAAGATTTTGTTTATCTCTCTATAAATAATTTATTTTATTTCTTGTAATATTGTTTTTTTCTTTTTAATTTATTTGTTTGTTTGTTTATTGTTGTGTTTGTTTATTTATTTTTGTAAACAAGGTTGCTTGTATTGGCAGGGGTTAGATGAAAATTTTATGGGGTTAGTTGGCGCATGCCTAAAGGGGTTAGTCGCCGCCGAGCGGCGACTAACCCCTTTGAGCATGCGCCAGTTGAGATTGGTAAAAATCCTGTAGTTAATCCATATACAATGTGTATTCGGTCTGTATTGTTAATCAGTCCACGCGATGTACAAATTAAACGGTAATTAACACGGTAGAAGTATTTGTACTGTCATGCTGCGCTTAAAAATCCCAAGTATTCCGTTCTACAAATATCCAGGAATGAAGACTACACATGCCGATATCCTAAAGAAATAACTCGCAGAGAACGAAAATACATACCATTGCATATTCATTACGATAACCGAAAACACTAACAAGTATTTTTACAGTCGTAACAACGATTACATCCAACAAATAACCAGAGAAATCCGACGATGTCAACACTGCCAATACACTGCAGACAACTGTTCGACGTCACTTTTCGAAGTGCGACGTCACACGTACACTGTTTTCCCGAACTTTCTGTGTCAAAATGGCGAATAGGCATTGTATGTAATATAAGGTATTCTGTCATCGTAGTACAACACACAAACTTTATTCCTTTAGACTAAAGTTTTCCTTTACTTAGGTAATCAAATATCAGAAGAGGAGACGAAAGTGGGGAGTATTTAGTACAGAAAACAGGTTACAAAAATTTGAAGATCCATGATCCGCCCACTTGTTTCACCTCAGCTAAGAGGTGCATATTTAGTGTGCAAATCTCGAGTTTCAAAGTCGATGTGACGTCACACTATGTAGGTTTACATCTAACGGGGAACAGACTGTGCTGAACATTGCTTGTATTATTAGAAAGAAGATAAATACCATTTTGAAATTAATTTAAAGAAAAGAAAAATCGACAATAATTACATTTTAACCTTAAGAGACGAGATCAGTTGATTTTGAAAGGGGAGGGGGTAGTGGCAGATTCTAGGAATAAATGTTAAAAATAAGGGAGAAATAATCTGACCGTTTTTTGCCTCCTCCCAAACATACATGAAATAAAGTTTTGTTTGAGAGGTTAATTTTCTTTTCTTAACTTAAAATTGATTATCTGTCCCTGGACATGTTCGAAATGAATAACCCCCCCCCCTCCCCTGCTCCGTTAGAATCAAATGGTCGTCTACTTAGTCCCAAATTATTTTTAAAAATCATCCCTGAAAAAAAAGGACATGGAATATCTCAATAATCAAAAAAAAAAAAAAAAATTATATCATATTGGACATTATTTACATAGTCTTTCCATTTCCAAGCCTTATACCCCACCCCACCCCCCTTTTCAATCATTTTCAATTCAGTGATGGTTTTTATTACACGGAAGCAATAATATCATAAAGCACATGTGAAATATTTTGATTTTATCATTTATTTATTAAAATCAGACCCGCCCTGAAGGAATTATCCAAAAAAAGAGTGTAGTGACTACTGGCTATTGCCGCTAAGAAACAATTACCAATTCTTGCAGAACATTGGAAGGCTCGATTCAGTGTAATAAAAAAAATGTGGCAGGGGCCGTGCCACCCCAACACCCAATAATTTTGCCAGTATGTTTTATACTATAGAAAAATAGCTATTTGATGCTTGTGCCTCTATAAAAAAAAGGCGTCTGATGGATTTTAAAAAAACATTGTGCTTGTCAAGGAATTTTGGTAGCCCCCCCCCCCCCCCCTTGAAATTGCTTCCTACGGGCCTGAAAATTAGGGATAGCCCAGATTAATTTATGGATGTACATACAAGTATATAGAGGATATTCAATGTTTTGTAGATGAATATGGAATTTATTTCACTCGTGAGACAGGATTTTTTGATATTTTCACTCGTGCTTCGCACTCGTGAAAATATCAAAAAATCCTGTCCCACTCGTGAAATTTAATTCCATATTCATCTACAAAACATTGAATTTTCTGTTTATTACATTTTCTTTGATTTTCCCTTTGCCTCTGTCTTTTCTTAACACAGTGTTATAGGCTTGACGTCATAGCTGAGCGGTTGAGACGTCGATCGTAGCTTAGCAGTTGTGTGATTGAAAACATTAAATAGCATGGATTTTAGCAACATATTTGGGAAGAAATTTGCAGTTTTAGCTCTATCAAGATGCTTAGTTACTATCTCTATCTTAAGACAGACCAGAAATTATTTTTTACTTACTTTGATATCCTTTCACTCTGTGAGAGAATATCATTCTGGTATCCTTTCATACTGTGAGAGAATATCACTTTTATTCAATAATAAATCACAGTATTTCACTGCTGAAAATGTAATAAATTACTGTATATGTTTAGATTACGGTTAAGCAGAAAAAAAGCAGAGTCTTTGTTCTAAATACACTTCAAAAAGCATAAGTAATTTATACATTGCAGGTGATTGAAAATTTTACCTACTACGGTTCAAATTTAAGTTAGGCCTAGGTGAAATATTAGAGTTTTCGCAGACAGACAGCTAAATGTAATAGATTGAAACACAGACAGAACAAAAAATATACTGTATATGGTATATATGCGACCGATTTTTGAAATCCTCTACCAAATTCTGTGTTTCGTGGTCATTTTAAAAAAATATAATTTTTTTTTACATTTAATCACCATACATGCAAAATTTAAATCCTGTAATTGTGTAAAATTTAATGA